CTAACTAAAGCTCTGTAAAGCTGCAACATAACTTGCCTATCCTTATACTCCATGCCCCTTCCAATGATGACAAGCATGCCATAAGCCGTTTTTGCTACCGTGTCTACCTGCACTGCCACCTTCAGTGATCTGTGGACCTGCATACCCAGATCCCTCTGCATTTCAATACTCCTAAGGATACTGCCATTCACTGTATAATTGTCACCCCTACTTGACCTTCCAAAATGCATTGCCTCACATTTGTCTGGATTAAACTCCAGCTGCCATTTTTCTGCCCATGCCTCCAACTGATCTATATCCTGCTGTATCCTCTGACAATCCTCCTCACTATCCACAACTCCTCCAATATTTGTATCATCCGCAAACTTACTAATTAGACCAGCTATGTTTTTCTCCAAATCATTTATGTAGACCATGAACAGCGGAGGTCCCAGCACTGATCCCAGTGGAACACCACTAGTCACAGCCCTCCATTCTGAAAAGCATCCTTCCATCATTATCCTCTGTCTCCTATAAATATGCCAGTTCTGTATCCATCTTGCCAGCTCACCCCAATATCTTGTGACTTAACCTTTCGTACCAGTCTGCCATGAGGGACCTTGTCAAAGGCTTTACTAATGTCCATGTAGACAACATCAACTGTTCTTTCCTCATCAGTCAGCTTTGTCAACACTCAAAAAACTCAGTCATATTAGTGAGGCATGACCTCCCTGCACAAAACCATGCTGTCTATCACTAATAAGTCCATTTACTTCTAAATGCATATAGATCTTGTCACTGAGAATCTTTTCCAATAATTTCCCTACCACCAACATGAGGCTCACAGGCCTGTAATTTTCAGGATTATCCCTGCTACCCTTAAACAGTGGGGCAACACTGGCTATCCTCCAGTCCTCTGGGACCTCACCTGTGGCCAGACAGGATACAAAGATATCTGCCAATGCTTCAGCAATTTGTTCTCTTGCCTCCCTCAATATTCTGGGATAGATCCCATCAGGACCCGGGGACTTATCTACCTCAATACTTTTTTAAGACACACAACACGTCTTCCTTTTTAATAGTAACTTGACTTAGAAATTCAACACTCCCTTCCCTGAGATCATCTTCCACTAATTCCTTCTCTTTGATGAATACCGACACAAAGTATTCATTTAGGACCTCACCTGCCTTGTCTGGCTCCACACGTAGATTCCGTCCTTTGTCTTGGAGTGGGCCAACCCTTTCCCTGGCTACCCTTTTGCTTTTTATATATGTATAAAAAGCCTTGGGATTCTCCTTAATCCTGTTTGCTAAGAAATTTTCATGACCCCTCTTAGCCCTTCTAATTCTTTGTTCAAGTTTTTTCCTACTTTGCTAATATACTTCACGGGCTTCGTCAGTTCCCATCATCCTAGACATTACATGTGCTTACTTTTTTTTTTAACCCACGTCATAACATCCCTGGTCATTCAAGGTTCGTGCAACTTAGCATACCTATCCTTCATTCTCACAGGAAAGTGCTACTCTTGAACACTTACCGACTGCCGTTTGAAATACTCCCACGTGTCAGATGTAGATTTACCCTCAAACAGCCACCTCCAATCAAAATTTTCCAGTTCCTGCCTAAGATTATTGTGGTTCGCCTTCCTCCAATTTAACACCTTCACCCGAGGACTGCCGTTATCCCTATCCATGAGTATTTTACAACTTACGGTATTATGGTCAATACTCCCAAAATGCTCCCCAACTGAAACATCTGGCTGGGCTCATTTCCCAAAACCAGGTCCAGTATAACCCGTTTCCTGGTTAGACTGTTCATGTATGGTGTCAAGAAATCATCCTGAATGATTGTTACAATTTTTGCCTCATCCAAGCCCCTAGCACGAAGTGAGTCTCAGTCAATATCGGGGAAGTTAAAATCACCCACCACAACAACGCTGCTGTTTTTACATCTTTCCAAAATCTGTCTACATATTTTCTCCTCTACCTCCTGCTGGCTGTTGGGAAGCCTGTAGTATACCCCCAGCGTTCTGATTTCACCTTTCCTATTCCTGAGTTCTACCCATACTGCCTTGCTGAATGAGTCTTCTGATGTGAGACACTCCTTTACCAGTAATGCAATCTCCCATCCCTTTTACATCCCCTTCTATTACACCTGAAACACTTAAATCCTGGGGCATTCAAATGCCAGTCCTGCCTCTCTTTCATCCAAGTCTCCATAATTGCAATAATGTCATAGTTCCAAGTACTAAACAAAGCTCTAAGTTCATCTACTTTGCCCACTTTACTTCTTGCATTGAAACGCATGCATTTCAGACCACCCTCCCCTGCTCTTTTCAGCAGCGTTTCCCTGCTGTTCTTGTTCTTAGCCATGTTTGCCTTGGTTTCTGCCTGTCCCTCAAATTCTGCATCTACTGTCCTACTCTTCTGGTTTCCCTCCCCAATCACTCTACCAAATACCCCTACAAAGACATCAGTCCCGGTCCTGCCCAGGTGTAACCCGTCCAGTTTGTACAGGTCACACTTCCCCCAGAATCAGTCCCAATGCCCCATAAATCTGAAACCCTCTCCCTCACACCATCTTTTCAGCCATGTGTTCGCCCTATATATCCTGCTGTTTCCAATCTGACTAGCTCATAGCACTGGCAGTAATCCTGAGAACTACGTTTGAGGTCCTACATTTCAACTTTCTTCCTAGTTCTCTATATTCTGTTTTTAGGACCTCATCCCTTTTTGTACCTATGTCATTAGTACTGACGTGTACAACCACCACTGGCTGTTCACCCTCTCCCTCCAAAATGTCCTGCAACTGTTCTGAGACATCCAGGACCCGAGCACCAGGGAGGCAATACACCATCCTGGATTTTCGATTGCAGCCACAAAAACGCCTATCTATTCCCCTTATGATTGATTTCCCTATACCTCCCTCTGCAGCAGAGCCAGCCATAGTGCCATGAATTTGGTTGCTGCTGTTATCCCCTGAGAGGTCATTCCCCTCAACACTATCCAAAATGGTATATCTGTTTTGCAGGGGAATAGCCACAGGAGATTCCTGCACTGCCTGCTTAGCCCTCCTGCTCTGCCTGGTGGTCACCCATTCCCTTCCTGCCTGTGGAGTCTGAATCTGTAGTGTGACCACCTCTCTATATGTACTATCCATGATACTCTCTGCCTCGTGAATGCTCCACAGTGTCTTTTGAAACTTGGGCTTCCAGGAGCTGCAGCTGGGTACATGTCTTGTACACACGCAGGTCCCGGTCACTGGAAACGTGCCCGGCTTCCCACATTGAGCAAGAGGAGCTGACTATGTTTTCTATCTTTCCTGCCATGTCTTACCCCTTTAACTTAATTAATCCTTACAATGTCAAATACTTTTAATACTAAATTGAAGCTGCTGATGCTTTCAGTCCGATTACAATTTCTCAAAACTTATCTGCTACTCACCAACAACAGTTTCCAGAAGCTGTTTAGGATCGTGCTCATCTGGTACTCTTGTTGCTGATCTTCCTCTCACAATGTTCTGTCTCTACTCCTCTGAACCTTGCCTCTTTTTTTTGGTCAGAGGAGGAAGGTGGGGTGGAAAAACTACAGTAATATAATGTTTGGGGCTGACGGTTCCTTAACACCAGGTTCTTCCACGATACCCTTCACACCTGTGCTGACTGCGAAGTCGCCTCCCAAAATGCAAATGAGCAACGTCTCAGCACCCAATAGGATATGTACAATGTTCAGAATAAAACAGCCAACTATATATTTCTCTCTCTCCTAGATATGTAAAATAATAAATTGCCTTAATTGGTGCCTGTATTTTTGTAACTTCAAACTCTCCATTCCTTACTGCATCATACAACTTTTAGTTGCCAGTTGAAAGTTCAAACACTGATAGAGATTGCTAGCGACTGTCTTGGGCAAACTTATCCACAGAAATATGATCCGAGCTCCTCTAGACAAACCTGATGATCATCTGGTCTTTTCTGATGAGTCAATTTTGAATACTTCACAAGACTGAAGATAAGTAGAAACAAAAAGCAACAGATCGCTGCATCTCTCCTAATTACATTACATTACAGGTGTCCATCAACATTGAACAGGTATCCAATTGGTGGGAGCTTCAGAAATGCCTGACTGATTGTGATGACCACTAGCAATTAACGCATGAGGCAGTCTATTATCTATGTTGCCTCAGAAAGTTGAATCTTAGGGCCAATCTGACCGAGCTGAACTGATAGCTGTTCTGTTAAATAGCAACCTTGAGTGTTTATCCTACAGGATCTGAGATATAAGGAACTCCAAGCAAAATCTTTGTACCACAACTGGCTCCTTTTAATATTGTCCAGTACAAAGCACTTCGGAACATAATCAGAAAAAATTTGACTTAGCCACATAAGGAGACACTAAGATCTGTTGTAACAGCATTATTTAAAAGAAGGTTGGTTTTCAAGATCATCTTCTGAGGGAGCTGGAGTACTGAAGATGTTTGAAAATGAAAATTAGGCAAAATCACCTATTCTGTTGCATACACGATTTGTCTGTATAACATGAACACATTGTAAAACATACTCACGTGCTCAAAATAGGGAAGTCAGATATGTTAAGGAGTTTTAAACATGTGATTGATAAAGGAGAACTGCTGTTTCTATAGTTAACAGTTCCATTTGAGAGAAGGTTGTTTTTAAATTATTAATTATAATTATTTAAATTCTTTATCGTAATTTTCTCCTACTTTTCTTGGTACCAGAAGCACATTAGGCTGACACAGGAAGGAAAAAAATGTCTTCTGCCTAAAACTTACTTCCATCATCAAGTTCTCATCAGATGTCCTATTTTTGGGGTTCATTTGAAAATGCTCAATATTTGTGAAAAATTGTCTTCAAAACAGTTTAGTTTACTCCTTTGAGATAGTTTTTAAATTTCTTGATTTCAATAGAAGACCTGTTCAAAGAAAAACTTATGCTGTGTTCAGTTTTTAAGTTGTTTGCTTAATTTGGTTTGTGCTTAATTTGACATGTTATTTTTGTCAGCTAACATCCACAAAAAGTGAGTCTCGGCTGAAACACCTTCTGCAGCGATTACCTGGTTACTGTCCGGAGTCTCTGGTAAGAGGAATGCGGTCTAGTCTTAATTTACAATTAGCGTACTTGCATGTTATTGCCAGTACAGGAATGCTGTATTGATTCGTGACACATTTTTCAGTTAGGTTACTAATTTTTGGAATTTTGTTACACTGCCAACCCTGCATTGCTGTCCGCCAAGTACATCTTTAAATTGACAATCTTTCTTGTATATAATGTGGGGGATTGGTTAGGTCAGTTAACTGAATGGCTGGTTTGCAATGCAGAGTGCAGTCTCTATCAATCTCTCGCTGTCTCTAAAGTAAGAGCAGCACTATGACGATGGCAACTTTACCTTTCTTTATACATAGCTGGACGTAGTTGATGAAACAAGTGACTAAAATGTATTTTCAAAAGCCTTCATAGATTGTTAAATGTGTTTTTCTTCAGCTTGAATTCTGGGTTTGCATTAACTCTTCTTTACCTGGTAAGTGATGAATATTTGAAAAATATTAATGATTATATAACAACCTCTGCTATCTCTATATATTTAACACCTTCACAATATTGTTGAAAAAGCATGTATTTTGATGAACTTGTAACCAGGACAATTTACAAGAAACACCTAGTTTGTGAACAATTATGAACAAAACCAGAAAGTGCTAGAGAAACTCAGATCTGGCAGCATCGGTCCAGAGAGAAACAGAGTTAATGTTTCAACTCCAGTGACCCTAAATCAGAACTGTTCTGATGATGTTGGAAAGATGCTTCCATGAGTGGGGAGTCTCAAACTAGGGGACATATACACAGAATGAGGAGCATTCATTTAGAACTGAAATGTGAAGGAATGCCTTCTCTCAGACAGTAGTGAGATGACGAATGTCTGGCTCCAGCTACTATTTCTTATGTTTTTATGAAACTGGCCTGTAGTTTCCTTTCTGTCTCCCTTTTTGATTAAAAAAAGTTACATTTGCTATCTTTCAGTCTAATTGGAACATCCCTAAACCAAAGGAGTTTTGGAAAATCAAAACCAGTGCATTAACTATCTCGCTAGCCACTTCCTTTTAAGAATCTAGGAAGCGGTGTCTTGACCAATTGAAGGCAGCCTGTCTCAGTAAGAATTTAACCAAAGCTTGGCAGTTAACTGTCAGTAATCATAAACTAGTGTATTCTCCATTGCAAAACCATTGCTAATGAAAGTCCATTTCCCAATCAATAAGCACTCTATTCTCACACAGTACGTGTTATTTTCCCTTTGCTTTGATTGATCTTGCAAATTGTCCGGATAAGTGCAAGATTAATAACTTTGCCAAAATATGCCTTTGTTTCTACAACTCAAGTAACTAATGGTCAAATAAACCATTTTTAACATATTTGGAATATACTCCACAGGAGCATTGTAGAAAAAGATTTACACCATACTGCATAAAAAAGTTATTAGGGAACAAAATAAGACTATGGCAACTGTACTTTTTAAGTTAGGAAGAGGTTCAGTGAGAGAAATCCTGAGCTTAATGTCTTGGCAGTTGACGCATTGCTACCAGTGATGCAACTAATGAAATCAGTGATGTTCTTGAGGCCAAAATTGAAGTACAGTTGTGTCGAATAGTTGTAAGGTTAGAGAAAATTTTTAAAAATCGGGAAGAATGAGGATGTGGATGAATTTGGAAACATTGAGGATTTTAAATTTCAGACATTGCCTAAGTTGCAGCCTAAGTAGATGTACATTTACGGGAGTTTTGGGTGAATGGTACTTGATGCAGATTTGTGCAGGATGGAAGTTGGTAGCTATCTAACAGTACATTGAGATTTATTACTGTTAGACTTAAAGCACAGATTAAGATTTCAGCTGCAGATCAACTCAGCAAGGGCAGAATCGTACGACATTATGGAAATCTGTGATGGCACGTGTGTGTAGGTATACACAGGTTAAGTGAGTTAGCACAATCTTGGCTGATGGAGTTTAATGTGGGAAATATGAAGTTATGCATTTTGGCAGGAAGAACAGAGGGGCTGAATATTATTTAAATGGAGAAACATTGTGGAAAGCTGCAGAGCACAGGGATTTGGGAGTCCTTGTGCATGGATCACAAAAAAGCCAGCATTCAAATTCGGTAGATTGGAAAGGGAAAGCAAATGGAATGTTCGTCTTTAATTTCAAAAGGAATGGAATGTAAAGTAAGGGAGATTTTGTTAAAACTATACAAGGCATTCATCAGACCACAGCCTAAATACTGTGAACAGTTGTAGGCCTCTCATGTAAAGATGGAGGCAGTCCAGAGAAGGTTCACTAGGCTGATACGGGGTTTGGAGGCACTGTTTTATGAGGGGAGATTGTGTAGATTTGGTGTGTACTCAATGGAATTTAGATAAATGAGAGTTGGCTTATTGAAACAAGCAACATTCTTAGGGGATTTGACAGAATAGATGCAGAATGGTGGTTTTCCCTTTGCAGCAGAGTTTCAGACCAGGGGACATAATCTCAGAATAAGGGGTTGCACATTTAAGACAAAGAATTGAGGAGGAATTTCTACTCTGAGGGAAATCTATGGAATTCTTTACTGCAGCGGGCTGTCAAGGCTGAGTTGTTAAGCATATTCAAGACTGAGAGAGACAGATTTTTAATCAGTAAGGTAAATCGACAGTTATGGGGAAAAGACAGTAAAGTGGGTTGAGGATTATCAGATCAGCCATAGTGTCATTAAATGGAAAAGTGGACTTGATGGGCTAAATGGCCTGCTTCCCCTATGTCCTATGATGTTCCTCAGACAGCACTGGAGACTGGGTCATTGAATTCATTCAAAGCTCATTGATAGACAAAAGAGTAAAGGGTTTTGTGGTGTCGGATAGGAAAGTAGAATTGAGACCACAGCCAGATCAGCCATGATCTTGGTGAATGGCAGGGCAACTCGAGGGGGTGAATGGTCCACCTCTGCTCCTATGATATCTGTTGTATATATCTATGTCTACTCTGTTGAGCCCGTGAAGAATCCTATATGTTTCTCGTTCTCCTAAACTCCAGTGATTTCAAACCCGTCTTACTTAATCTCTCCTTGGAAGAAAATGTCTCCAGATTTGGAATCAATATAGTGAACCACATTTATACTGCCTCCAATGCCAGTACGTCCTTCCTTAGATAAGGGGACCAAACTGTTCACAGTATTCCAGCTATCCTGACCAGTGACTTCAATAATTTTTCAGCAAGATTTCTATATTTTTATACTGCTTTCTCTTTGAAATAAAGTTCAACAATCCATTTGTCTTCCCTATTATCCACTGAATGTGGATGCTAGCTTTTTGTGATTCATGCGCTAGGACTCCCAAATTCTCCTCAGCTGCTGCTTTCAGCAATCTTTCCCTACTTGTGAATTCTACACTTTGTTGATGCTCTGAAAGAAAAGAATTCAAAGGGTCTGTATCTTAAAAGAAGATCTCTGATTCTTGAACTCTGCTCTGTTGCTCTAATATCCCACTATAAGAGGAGACAATCCCCCCCAGTCTTCCCTATTAAGTGAAGATCTCCCATGTGTCAATAAGATTAGCTTTCATTCTTCTAAACTCCCATGGATATAGACCCAACTGTTTCAAGCTTTATTCTTCATGTAAGCTCTTTAACCCAGGAATGAGTTGAATGAATCTTCTCTGAGCTTGTTTGAGTGCACTTGTGTTTCCTTTTTAAATAAGGAGACCAAAACTGTACACAGTACTTTGGATATGGTCTCGCCAAGCTGTGGACTTGAGATTCATGCACTAGGACAACTGGATCGCTCTGGACCAAGTTCTACAATCCCCTTCTTTCAACTAGCACCCTGCTTTTCTATTCCTCTTGCCAAAGTAGACAGATTCGTATTTTCCTACATTATACTGGCTCTTCTAAATTAATGCATCATATACCTTTGCAGACTCCCTACCTCCTCTTAATGACTTATTTTCCTCCTGATCTGTGCCTTTGATCAATTTCGCTGCCATACATTTGGTCCCTTCATTCAAGTTGTTGATATTGATTGTAAATAATTAGGAACACCACAATGACCCATGTGACATTCCACCAGCCTGCCAATTGACAATAAATTAAATAATGACTTAAATATCTAAATTCCAGAGAATACTACCCTAGTTTGTAGTGTACTTCTCGTAATTTATTCCTTAGAGTTCAGATAGCATTGTGTTAACTTTGTGGCTGCAGTTTTGTTGCTGAAAACTGCTTACAGTACTCAGTATTGTTTAATCAGTCAATGGAAAACTGACTTCAAAAATATTCATATTTAATATTCCTAAACTCTAGCATTGGTTGAATCATGGTTCTGTGGCTGGCATGAGGGAGTTAGAATCCTTTGGGAACTCTAGTTATAATTATTAAGAATTCAACCAAAGACTGTAAGACAAAATGATCATCAGCAAAGTTTAAGTTGTTCAAAGATGCTCCTTCTAAATCTGGCCAGGTTACAAACCAAGCAACGTGATTCAGCTAAATTGTATCTAATTGATTACACTTCCTTGATTAATCTTCCCAGGTATATTCCAAATTACGGTTTGTTTGTTTGTTTACAAGCCTTTCTTGACCACAAAGGAAATGACTCCCATTTCAGGAATTTCCTCAGCCTTCTTTGTTGATCAGGGTATATTACTCAGTAAGTATATACTTACAGTGCTTGAATGGCTTCTCAGCCGGATATTGATGACAAACACATCCATAAGCAAGAACTCTATTTGTCGCTCGCCTTGGCTCTGATCATGTGCAAAATATGAAGGCTGGTGTTTGTGGTGTGTTTTTCACTGAAATAGTCAGAACAGAATGAGTGGCATTACATGCTGTCCAAAATGTGTTGTACTTGAAATCTAATTAAATCGGGTAGACAGTAAATAAAGCCAGATTGCAACCACATGAAACTTAACATAAATAAGTGAGGATGTGGCAAAGCCAATAGTAACAGGCTTTCAACTCATTTAGCTGCCAGATGGTTGTGGCTGCTACTTCCATAATCAAACTATATCCAGATGAGCAGGTGGGTATACATGATCACATGTTTTGAAAGCTGTAGGCTAAAGAAATTTTCATTTGGACAGTGCACTCATCTGGTTCAGAACTTTTGTAGTTACATTTATTGAGACAACACTGGCTATGCCTCTGGGTTTGCAGCATGACCGAGAGATGCAGTAGAGGCTGTGGATAGAGCATGCTCTGCACGATACCTTCTTCTAAATTGGAGCTGACCTCTTCCAGGTGGCTGACTGGCAGGCTAGTCAATGCACCCGACATCTGTGTACAACCTGATTCAGCACCTTACCTAATACTGCCCCCTAGATGTCCGCAGCTGAGTCCCGCGCAGCAGCAGGTGAGCTTGACAATGAACCATCCTTTACCTTTAGCTGGTAGTAGAGCTCAGTGACTCACTCTATGTAAATCCCAATGCCCTAGATTAGCTTCCAAGGTATGTGCATTGCCGGTGTCTGAATTGGTGGTTGCAAGTGTCAGATCAAGTGAAGGGACCTCTTCATCAGTGCTGCACTTGGCTTTCCTGGAATGCTTGTGGCATGGCAAGCAGTAGTTCTTGGGTGTCTAGAGTGGGAAGTGGTGTGAGTGAAGATGATAAGTGTGGGAAACAGAATGTCCATGGTCACGCCATCACCATCATGCTCACGATGCTAGTTAGCAGGATGAGGGTGAACTAAGGAGAGGCTTAAGTCAGGAAGATGATGAAACCCTTAAAGCTCTCAGCAATGTCAGATGCAAAGTGCTCTGTTGCAGCCAGTCCCATGATGTAGACAACCATCTCTTCAGTAGGGTTAAGGAGATGGAGCTCCTCAGTTCCACACCCTAGGTGTTGACCTCATGGCCACCTGCTGCCATTTCCTTCTGCGTGTGTCTTGATCCATCATGGAATCATGGCATCTCTCTTCCTGCCTACCTGCACCACTGGTTCCTTCCTAATTTGCATAGTTTCACATTACATTGCCATCTATATCTTTGTTGAATCATTGGTTGCGGCAAATATTGAATAGTGCAAAGTGAGTTGTACTTAGCCACGTTGTACAGGACCACAGTGCTATCTTTATTATCGAAAATTTTTTCCCTTGTTTGACTTAAATAGTCAAACTTAATTAATTTGTTTAATTTCAGCAGTGAAAATGTGTTGATGTCAACTGCTGGTGGTTTGAAGTCTGGTCCAGGTGTTAGAATACTTAGAACACAGTTGTTTATCTTGCTGTAATTTATGAAAAATCAAATGTGAGATTTCTTTTTCTTCAAGTTATTTGATTCTTTTAAAGTTGAAAAGTGATCATCAAATCTGTGTTTCTGGAATCAATTTATAGGAGCATCAAAGAAAACTGAAGGCTGGGTTGGCTTGGGGTGTTGTGAGTTGGCCATTGCTGGAGAATGTCGACGTGCATGTAAGCAGGTAATTTTCTTCAGTTGGATATAATACAGCAATTTAAGAAACTGTTAATTTATGGACGAAGAGTTTGCGTAACTCTACAACAAGATGAAATAGTGCTTTATCATGCCCTCACAACATCCGGAAGTGCTTCACAACCCAATGGATTACTTTTGAAGTATAACATTAGCATGGTTGTAGTGTACCAAATGTTATTTTGCATCAGGCAAGGTGCCGCAAAACGGCAGATGTGACAGATGACCCATTTATTTGGCTTTTAATTTTGTTTGTTGAGGGATGACTGTTGATCAGGACATGATTGCTTGAGGCACGTAATAGTTTTGGATGTTGACTTCTGCTCTGGAGTTTCTGTGTGGAAATTCACCTTGTTGTCATCTGACAGCAGAACCTATTGGCTTGCATTATGGTCAACTCAAACTAGTAGTTCAGATAGACTTGCGTTCTCTAAGACCATTTGACATTAATAATTCAGAGAAAGCAGCTTCAAATCCCATTATGAAGATGCAGATTAATAAATCTAGGAATAAGGACTTTATCAGTAAGAGGTGACCACAAAGCTGTTAAGGTATTATAAAACCCATTATTAATAATGTGCTTCAGAAAAGGAAACCTTCCTATATCTGACTCCAGTCCTACATCAATAAGTGACACTTCACTGCCTGCAGAAGTGGCCTAACAAAACATTCGGTCGTAACCCCGTCTTGTCAGAGGAACTAAAGATGGGCAATACATACCGGACATGCCAACCTTACCAGCCTGCTATGTATGAATTTTTTTTAAAGTCTCTTTTCAATAAAAGTGGAAAATACATGGAATACTTGAGTTAAGTAATACTTGTTGAGAGTAAAACAGAAAATGTTTCAGTCCAGCATCTTTTTGACCTAAATGTTTCATTGCTTTCCAATTCTCCTGGTCCGTACCATCGGGTGATTAGTCATCACAAAACAAGGCTGCTGCTTCTGGTTGGAGAAGTATCCATTTGCACCAACCAAAATAGGTTCCCCCAGTTTTGAGATTGCTGTATTTCGTTTTCTCATCTCAGGTGCCGCAAAAGTGAGCTCAGGGTTTTGGTTTCCTTTGTGGGCTTTTCCCTCAGAAAGTAGGTGCCCAGAATGGGGATTTATTATACAGATAATTTTGTTGACTTGAGGGGGCCCATGACCCTCCTTGCCATGATCTAGCTATGTCAATGAATTTGTGAAAGATATATGGGTACTTCAGTGTTGACACACTTGCATTTGCTCAGTCTACTGGTTGAAACTGGCAACTCCATGTAGACTCATTGCCCAGGCCAGTAAGACTCATATGCCCTGTTTTGTTGATTGTGGTATAGAAATGGGGCTACTGGCAGGTAAAACAAGAAGAGAAGGAGAGTGTTGATCTGTCAGGGTTTCTTGATGACAAACTGTACTTTACGGAAGGAGGAAATCTGCCATCCTTACCTGGTCTGCCCTACATCTGAATCCAGATACACAGCATTGTGGTTAAATCTCAACTGTCCCTGAAATGGTCTAGCAAACCACTCAGCTGCATCTAACCACTACAAAGTCTAAGGAAAGGAATGAAATCAGACAAACCCTGGCATTGACCTGGGCGCTGCTAATAACAATGGCAAGCCCAGCCCTTTTGATCATTTGGAGACAAATGCCTTTGACTTTGGTTTGTAGTCATTAATGAGTCCCTGCCTCTTCTCCTTTGAGGCCCTCAAGCTAAAAGTTAATAGAGTGGTATTGTTGGACAGGGAATGGTTGAACATGTTCAAATCCATTTGTATTAATTACACGTTCGATTGAGATTTTGTTTTGGATGTTATGACCACGTTGATAATTGTATTACAGGTAGTAAACCGAAAGCTATCTATTTTATGATTTAAATAAATTAAAATTGTTCATGGCTATAGCACTAAACAAAGACTTATCATTTTAAATGTGAGCTTTTTAATCTGTGAAATTAAGTAGATAGACAAGCATTTTAGCCTTGGACAAACATTTGTAACAATTATATCATAAAAAAAGCATATTTTGTGACTTGGTAACCTCAAGGCTCCAAGGCAGAGTTATGATCACATAGTTTTCATATTAGTTTACATTTTCTGTCGTATATTTTTATCATTATCATGCTCTGTTTTATTTTAGGCTTCTTCAAAGAATGACCTTAAGAGCTGTAGAAAGGAATTTGAGGTCTGTACGATAAAGTACTAATCACATTATGCAATTTTATTTAAATTTAATAGTTGCAGTGCAGGTTTCCCATAGCTCAGGAAACCTGACAGAAAAAAGGAAACCAGAGTTACACTTGCACACTGTTGCGTGCTTTCTCTTGCACCCTCACTGGCTGTCGCACCCACCCCAGGCCTCCTCTCTGTCTCTCCCCAGTCTCTTTCTGTCCCTCTCTTTCCCATCCCACACCCCCCTTATAGTGATTGCCTCTGCCACCACCCACAGTCCCCAGCATCTCACCCACTCCTAGCCAATTGCCGCAGGTTGATTTCAGTGCTTTCCCAGCTGTCAATTGACTAGCTTGTTACTTTATCCGGTGGTCAGGTGGGAAAGAGAACAAAAACACTTATGATATGGTTCTGCATTAAATTCAGCAGGACAATACATAGCTTTGCAATGTTTTCCACACTACCGTGTTTTCCTATACTCTCGCACACTTTGATGGATATTGATTTGGGCCCTTCGGTTTGATTTATAATACTTTACATCTGTATTTGTGAAAAACATAATGGTTATCTATTTGCCCGATTGCAGAACCAGCCTAAATTCTTTCAAAACTGTTCTTCTATATCCTATGTCTCCATTACATTCTGCTTTTGTTTTTCAGTATATCTCAACACCATTTTTTAATTATACGTGTTTATGTCTAGGCTGCAAACTTTAGAGTCCAAGATGTGATTGTTTATTGTCTGTTCATCATTTCCTCCCAATTTTTCTGGAATACCTAGCTCTCTTAATCAATTTCTTAACCAGTTACGATTTCCTCTTTGAATTCCCATATCTTTTAGCTCCTTAAGATTATTGATGTGGAAATTTGTTAAGAGGCTTTCTGGAAATAAATGAACTTTGTCAAAGGGAGTGACATTTGAAATCATTGCATCATTGAAAGTAAAAAGAAGTTGGTTGCACAAGGTTCAACATTCCTAATTCCATGCTGGTTACATTTTTCCATTTTGTTACTTGATCCTGATGTTTGGCTGATAGGTTTTTGTTTATTTGTCAAATTTGAAAACGTTTTAAATGTAGGTACGTGGAGCCCACTGCAGGAAATTGTTCTGAATTTCTCATTCAGACAAACCTGTCGCCCTTCTCAAAAAGTTAGTCTACTGTAGCATGCAAGCTTGAACGACAGTTCATAGAGGATACAAGTATATATTTAATGAACTACAAAGTACAACAAAGTGAAATATGAACAGACAAACAAGGAGCAAGAGTAAACCACTTGACTAATCAAGCCTACTCCACCATTCCATAAGAACATGGCTCATCTGATTTTAAAGTGAACTCTGTTCCTGCATAACCTTGATGATCTTTCATCCCATTGGTAATCAACAATCTGTCTATTTCTGCTTTAAAAATATTTAAAGATTCTGCATCCACTGCCTTTGAGAAAGGGAATTCCAAAGATACTCAACTCTGAGAGAAAAAAATGCTTCCTCATCTCTGTTTTAAATTGGCACCCCCTTATTTTTAAACTATGAACCCCAGTTCTAGATTCTCGCACAAGAGGAAACATCCTTTCAACATGCATCCAATCAAGTCCCCTCTGGATCTTTTTTTTTATTTGTTTATGGGACATGGGTGTTGCTGGCTGGCCAGCATTAATTGCCCATCCCAAGTTGCCCTTGAAGCTGATGTTAGCTACCTTCTTGAACTGCTGTAGTTCACATGCTGTAAGTTGACACACAATCTTTTCGAGAAGGCATTCCAGGATTTTGACCCAGCAACAGTGAAGGAACAGCAATATATTTCCAAGTCAGGATGGCGAGTGGCTTCGAGGGGAACTTGCCAGTTGTGGTGTTCCCATGTGTCTGCTGCCCTTGTCCTTCTAGGTGGAGATGATCACGGGTTTGGAAGGTGCTGTCTAAGGATCATTGGTGAATTTCTGCAATGCATCTTGTAGATAGTACACACTGTTGTTACTGAGTGTCAGTGGTGGAGGGAGTGGATGTTTGCCAATTAAATGAGTTGTTTCGTCTTGGATGGTGTCAAGCTTCTTGAGTGTTATTGGGGCTGCACCCGTCCAGGTAAGTGGGGCGTATTCCATCACACTTCTGGCTAGAGCCTTGTAAATGGTGGACAGGCTTTGGGGAATCAGAAGGTGAATTACTCCCTGCAGTATTCCTAGCCTTTGTCCTGCTCTTGTAGCCACTGTATTTATATGGCAAATCCAGCCTGGTTTCGGCTCAATAGTAACCCCCAGGTTATTGTCAGTAGGCTATTCAGTGATGGTAAAGCCAATGAATGTCAAGGGGCGGTGGTTGGATTGTCTCTTATTGGAAATGGTCATTGCCTGGCATTTTTCTGGCACGAATGTTACTTGCCACTTGTCAGTCCAAGCCTGAGTATTATCCTGATCTTGTTGCATTTGAACATGGACTGCTTCAGTATCTGAGGAGTTGAGAATAGTGCAATCATCAATGAACATCCCAACTTCTGACCTTATGATGGAGGTAGGTTCTTAATGAAGCGACTGAAGATGGACACTACCCTGAGGAACTCCTGCAGAGATGTCCTGGAGCTGAGATGACTGACCTACAAAAACCATGACCATCTTCCCATCTGTCAGATATGATTCCAACCTGCAGAGAATTTGCCCTCTGATATCCATTGATCCCAGTTTTGATGGGGCTCCTTAATAACGTGCTCCATGAGATGCTGCCTTGATGTCCAGGGGTGCCACTCTGACCTTACCTCTGGAATTCAGCTCTTTGTCCATGTTTGAATCAGGGTTATAATGAGGTCAGGAGCTGAGTGACTGTGGTGGAACCTAAGCTGGGCATCACTGAGCAGGTTATTGCTGAGTGGGTGCTGCTTGATAGCATTGTCATACCTTTTCATCACTTTGCTGATGATTGAGAATAGACTGATGGTAATTAGAGTGGTAATTAGACAGATTACATTTGTCCATTATTTGTGTACAGGACGTATCCGGGCAATTTTCCACATTGTCAGGTAGATGCCAGTGTTGGAACTGCATTGGTAGAGCTTGGATGGGAAAGCAGCAAGTTCTGGAGTTCAGGTTTTCAAGACCATTACCAAAATATTGTCAGGGCCCATGGACTTTGGAGTATCCAATGCCTCCACCCATTTTTTTGATGTCACATGGAGTGAATCGAATTGCCTGAAGACTGAGACCTGTGATGCTAGGGACCTTTGGAGGAAGCTAGGATGGATCATTCACTTGGCACTTCTTTTTGAAGATTTCTGCGAATGCTTCAGCCTTGTCTTTTACACAGATGTGTTGGGCTCTTCCATCATTAAGGATGGGGATATTTGTGGAGCTTCCTCCTCCAGTGAATTGTTTAATTGTCCACCACCATTCATGACTGGATGCAGCAGGACTGCAGAGCTTAGATCTGATCCGTTGGTTGTAGGATTGTTTGGCTTGCAGGTAGTTATTGGAAAATGTGGCAAATGGAGCATATAAATTGGAGGATATTCTGATAGAAGTGAACACCCTCACCGGTCCAACTGAGCTTGGGGAATACCACCCGAGTGAAAGCTATTGCCTCACTCAGGACATACCCGGAACAGAGGGACTCTAGGTCAGCTCATAGCAAAACCACAAAACAAAGCGGAGCCTCGGCCAAATGGTAAAAACTTTCTTCAGGATCCAGGCTGGCAAGCCACTGTAGTTGCTGCCAGTACGTGGACTCGAGACAGCAAAAGAGTCCCACTAGGTTGGAATTGAATTAAGAGAACTCATGCTGGTATTCAGGAGATTGGACGCCCTGGAAAATCCACCTTTATCTGGTTTGGAACAATTAAATTGCTGAGCAAAACCAAATCAAAACCAATGAAAATGAACATTTGGTTAAATGATCACCTGGACCTTGTGGAGGTCAACACTGGCACGGCCATTCCAGTTTCCGCAGAACCAGTCCTTATCAAAAGTTGAATCAGAGATAGTAGGAACTGCAGATGCTGGAGAATCCGAGACAACAAGGTGCAGGGCTGGATGAACACAGCAGGCCAAGCCGCATCATAGGAGCAGAGAGGCTGACGTTTCGGGCCTAGACCCTTCATCAGAAAATCTGATAGGTAGGTGTGATGGTCTGAGCAAGTACCTGGACCAGAAGAAAGCTGCAAACTTGCAAATGATGTGGGAACAAAACATGCCTGCCTCCTTGACTGCCTTTCCGATTGTTCCGGAACCTGTAGGTTCTCCCTGTCCGTCAAATATTGAAGATACCTCAGAATCTGAGATCAACACAGCGGATGTCCCCACCTTGATGCCTTTGCCACCTGAAGAGGTGAATGAATGAATTTCTCCTGAGATGCTCAGGGCGCAAGAGGCAAGCTACTGTGCATTACACGTCACCCATATCAGGTTCAGAGTTGGAGGAACCTGACCTGATGCTAAAACGCCCCAGGAGGAGCTACAAAAAGAAAACGGCCTATGTCCTCGGCTCAGAGGGAGAGGGATATAATGATTGTAACAAAATCAGTCAGGTGGACCTCATAGAATATGACTTCCCTGATTGGGGCTGTTATTCTGGCCCAAGTACGGGGCTCTGGGTTACAGATATAAACAGGAGTGTCAGAGGTTCTGTTCGGTCTGGGAGCTAATTCTGAGGAAGCTGGATCAGGGTCAAGGGCTCTCCACGTGTAAATAAAGGATGACTTGGTGAAGGCATACCGACTTCTGTGGAGTTATTTCAGTGCTCAACCTTAGTTCCTGTGCTGCCAAAGATCTGTCTTTATATTATTGGCAGATGGGGTGGAAAACACAAGTCATAAAGTCTTTGCAGCATGATAAAAAATGCCTTTCAGCTGTTTGCGTCCATGTTGATCATCAAGCACCTATCTATGCTCATCCCATTTTCCAACACTTGGTCTGTAACTTTGTACGTTATGCTGTTTCAAGCTCTTTTAAATAATACTAAGATGCCTTGAGAGTTATTGCCTACAGAGACTGGATAGTGTGTTCCAAATATCTATCACTCTCTGGATGAAAC